GTCTGAAAACAAGATCAAAAATACTTTTTGGCTGATATAAGGTTTTAAAACGTGGTTAGATGGACAGTTTTTGCAGTGTCTTGTTGACATTATAACCTTAATTTCAAAGGTTTTCTAACTGAAAACAAATGTTCATAAATGAGTGTTTGTTGTTGCTCTGACCCAGGTGACCCTGTCAGAGTGGACTGATGTTCATCAGAGGATGGATGCTCCTAACAGCTTTGATAATCATCAGTTTGCTGCAGAGGGAGCAGCAGCATGCTAACATGAAGCTCTGCAAACCAGACCCCCCTTTTTTCTGTGCATCCTCCTTCAAATCCACACTAAGCCCGTGATACAAACAGGAGAAGTTTTAAAGTGAAGCGCTATTCAATCAACATAAATCCCCTCCACGCTCACAGGTTGCTTCACAGTTCATCTATAATTCATGCTGCGAGACACCAAACAGATTGACTTGTCACAACTCAGCCTCCTCCAGACGAGAGCAATGAGCTGTTATCTGTCCGAGTCCTGACCAGGAATAAAAACAGGCCGGATTAGTTCATCCAGACTTCCAGTACAAATTGTTCAAGCGCCTGATCTTTGACCTGTCTTCCCCTCTCAGGTGTACCTGACAAACAGGAGAGGTTGTTTACAGAGCTGAGAACTGGGATGAGGGGTTGGAACCTGGATCTTTGGCCTGGTTTGAGCAGCAGGGCCAGTTTACTGGAGCTGAGGAAGAGATTTATAAAAGAAACCAGATGTGCAGCRGTCCATTCAACACCACACTAAATGTACAAACTTTATTCTCTTCTTTAACTCATTATTTTTAATTTATTTGTGTTGGAGGTTGAAATCCGTTGTGGCTCCTCCCCCAGTTTACCCACTAGGACACTGATGGGTCTTGGAGAGGAGACGATGTCTCCCTCTTGGTTTGGAGGAGATGGGCCGGACTTACAGCCACCTGGGGGTGACCGGTGCGGCTGAGTCTGACGTGTCTCCTCCGGGAGTCATCAGGCGGGAGCCTTGAGCTCGGCCTCCAGCTACCCTCCTTCCAGTAGTCGCTCCCTTCGTGAAGCCCGGCCTTTGGGTCAGCGTAGTAGCTCAGGACGCCTCCATCCTATCTATCCTATCCTATATCACCATTTTACATTTGAAAACACAATAATCATCATAGTACATTAGTTAATCACACACATTGCAATTAAGCACAATCATTACTCAGGTTACATATGTATTCTTTGCCAGCATTAAAATTGATTAACTTCAATAATTATTGTTGCTCCCGATGCCGCTTCATTTTCTTCTCTTCTCGGCCTTCACCTCGATTCTTCCTGTGGCCTCTTTTCCTGCCACGCTCCCTCCTCTGCTGGGGGTCGAGCGGAGGCTCTGCAGGTCTGATTCCAATCCTAGTGATGACTGGAGCGGTCGGGTCTCTTGACAAGGTTCAAGGATTCTCAGGCAGCCTTTTGTACAGCTTGTGCTGAATGAAGGATATTCAGTTTTAGAGTTGAAAAACAAACAGTTTGTGTAAAAAGATGCAGCAGGTTTGAGTTTGTAATGATGAGAAACAAACTTTATCAATAATAAACATGGAAATAATTTTAATCTGTGTAGTTCTGTGTGAAGAAAGTCCTTAATGTACGATTTTTAGGTGATGTTCTGTGGAGCTACATTGGGGCCATAAGATTTGCTAAAAAAAACTGAAAAAAAGGGATTGGAAA